AATAGTAAAAACTCGATGTAAATTGCAAATTGCTATAATACTACCCGGGTTGTTATTAAAGGGTAATACCCTGGATGCGCTTAAAAACTACTAAAATACTTTCCCGATACATATATACATATAATAAAAAAATCGGGGTATTTTTATTAATAATTTACTGAGTAAATAATATACTAACCAGTTGTAAATTTCCTCCCGACAAAAATCATGTGAGAGAGTTGAGCCAGGGTATTATAAAAAAAACTTCCCGGATAGTAAATTTTTTTAAGAATTTTGCGAAATTTGACCCGGCCGGGTTATGAGAACCAATTTATTAAGTTTGTACGGCCTAACTTTGAAACTTTATAAAAATATTAAAACTTAATAAATTAAAAAACAAATTTCATAAATTTATTCTTTAAGTCTTTACATTTTTATAAAAAGAAAAATTGTTCTAGCTATACCAGTTATTTTTTATAATAATTTAAAAATTATCTATTTTACGTGTTGATTTAAGGATTCCCTCCCTCACGGTAGTAAATTCAACATTTTGAACATTTATAATAAATTTATCCCTGTTAGATATATTCGAGTTTCTGTCCCTTTTACCACAAAAGTCCCATACGTATAAGTTTTTAAATAAAATCACGTGAACGTCTAAAGTTGGGTAATCCTTGTGTTGAACTGCAATATTTATTTATGTATTTAAATTTTTTTTATTAGACGTTTTATAAAAAATATACAGTTTTTTGAATAACTTAAAACAAAAAATGTTAAGCACTAATTAACATATTTCAAGCTACCCCAGTCTAGGATAAAATTGTAAACACGGATTTACGTTAAGGGCTCTCCTCCTAATTTATAAATCTTTGCATTATTAAAATGAAGGATCTAAAAGTCTTTCAATAGCAAAATTCACATTTCCCTGACAAATTTGTAATGCTCGAATATTTTTTTGTGCATCCACAAATCCCATATCGTTCAATTGCTGAAGTTGAGATTGGAACCTTTCTTCTGGGGGCACTTGTGGGGTTGCTGGGGCAGGAGTAGTGGTGGTAGTAGTAGTAGGAGTAGTGGTAGGCGGCACTCCACCAAGTGCTCCCCACAATAAGGGATCGAATAGGGGCATCATAGGAGGTTGTGAGGGGTTAGTTCCAGTGCCTGCTGCACCTTGTGCAGTAGGGTTAAAAAACGGAAGAAACGGATTGTTAATAGGCGTAATTGGTGTAGTGGTACTAGGAGTAGTGGTGTTTGTTGTAGGTGTAGATCCTGTTGTAGTGTCATTTCTAGTGCCAGTAGTATTTCCTGCAGTTGGATTTGTGGTTGGATTTGTGGTTGGACTGGTTGTTGGATTCGTGCCTGTAGTTGCTGGATTCGTACCTGTAGTTGCTGGCATGTTGTATCCGGGAAATCCAGGTATTGCACCACCAGTGAATGGCCCAAGATTTCCCATAAGTGGTTGTAAAGCAGCCAGACTCCTCAAAGTTTCAGGATTCGACATCATCGCCTGAAACTCTGGATCTTGCATCATTTGCCTAATCTGAGGTGCCATTTGTGCGAATTGAGGATTCATTTGGATCATACTTTCAACGAATTGAGGATCTTGAAGCATTTGTTGCATATATTGCATTATCGCAGGATTCTGGAGGAAGTCCAACGGGTTTACGCCCTGTAAACCACCAGTAGTACCAAATGGAGAACCATAAGGATTTGCACCTTGATTGAGTCCGCCCATCATGAATGGATTAGGTGAATAACCCGTTGGTTGCTGTGGAGTCTGTGTGTTACCCGCTGTTGCGGATTGTGATTGTTGAGACGCCTGTGTTTGTGACGAGCCTTAATACCAGGATATATTATAAATTCAGAAGTTAGATTTGTAAAATAATAATGTAAAATAATATAACCAAAATTCACTTGTGGCTGTAAAAACCCCTAGAATGTCTGCTTATTATAATGTTTAAATGGTTTCATTGCTGCCATGCTGGACATTGGTTGTTTTCTCTGGCGAGGTTTACAAAAACAAATGAAAAAAAAAACATACCACTAGGAGCTGAACCTTTCACCATATGGACTGTATGACCTTCTGCGATCTTATAAGTTTCGAGCGTATCATTGTCTTTTAAAACTCTGCCAGAATATATCAATCTTTGCCTATCCGCAGTAGTATCACATTTTTCTGCAATAGCTTGCTTAAACTCTAGCACCGTTTTAGAAGTATCTATCGTTACGCTATATTTCTGGTCGTTAGAACATTTGACATTAATAGTTATTTCTGGCATTTTGACGAGCTTCAGTTAAGCAAAAAGTGTAAACAAAATGGTTTCGTTACTTCCACTTTATATTAATTTATCCAATTACACAATTGTCTTGATAAGGATGCCACGTAAGCTATCTGAAATTGATGCATGACGTATGGATTGTACAAAAAGTTTATAGTGAATTCTTCAGAATGTTCGAGAAGTTTTTTTGTAAAAAATTTACATAGTATTAATATGATGCAGGATATAGCGCTGAATTTTGAGGTAAAAAATTTCTTGTATAAAACATGAATATGAGTTATAATTTAGTGTTTTTTATGTTATTATATACAATATACAGTACAGGACAGCTAAAGATATCCACCTTTTTTTAAAAGCGCCAAATTTATGATTATGTAAGCAAATATGATTGGCTAATTTTTGTGTAATGAATTTTGATTGGTTAAAAATATATATATCCATTTTTTTGATATATTAAATACCAAATTTTGAATTATATATATATATTTTTTTTGATGTTAAGGTGATCCCTTCGGTCAAGTACTTTTATTATTGTATAGACTATTTTTACAACTAGATGATCTACATCTGTCGTACATATATTTCTATATACATAATCTTACTACAATACCATTTTAAGTAACTACCTTAGAACAATTTTATTCTCGGGGTAAACCTGCTAGAGCTTTCCATGCCCACAATCCAGCTGATCTAGGCTTCAGTTGATACACACAGATCGAGGCCCATCACTTGCAGTCTAGTTTCCTGATCGTCACTACACAATCTACTTCTGCCCTTATAGAGTTTATCCAAATCCTGGACACAATTACAGACTATTTACTAGTATCCCTAGCTATCCCAAACTACCAATCCAGATGGTCCAGAAGGGCTGTGACCTGTCCCTGGTCCTCACGGTTAGGTCCTTTTTCTCTGGCTACCCTCTGGCAGCCTGGTTGGTGGAGTGTCTTGCCAAGCACTTCGGTCCTGTTCAGTTTTTATCAGTTCTCCAAGTATCAATCTGTATGTAGTACTATCAAAGATCTGTGCTACCTTTCTATTTGGGACTTCCCAAACAAGTGTTCTACCGCCGTATCAGCCCTGTGGCTTTCTGCAATTCCGAAGGACTTATTTTGGGTTTGCACCAACTAAACTGGCTTGCATACCTTTGTGTAACTCCTTATATTATACAAATGCCTTGGAATCTTCCAGTTTCCGGCAAACCGTAATTGATACAACTACAGTTACAGGGTCTCGAGTTTTCCCAGCCATGGTGTTAGTTACTAAATTCTGTTTTTCTTAAAATCCAATTTTTGCTTTCTATGAAAATTGAACCAATACTCAACCGCTTGGGGGTGTAACAACTTGACCACTTCACTAAGTCACCACATCCTAATTTTGAATTATATATAAACTTTAAACTCTAAAAACTTTTAAATTTTATAATAAAAATAAAAATCTATTCTAACAGAATTGTAGCTTAAACTAAAAGCAACAAATTTGTAAAACCAATTTTTTTTAAAGTTATTATATTTTTTTAAAATAAGCATCCTTTTTTGTACTTAATACTAGTGATGTATGTTTTAACTATCCAAAGACTTTTTTGGTACTGTCTAACATCCAAATATCCAAGTGTCCAAAAGTGTTCAGAGTATATCCAAGCTTTATAATTAATAAATTTGTTTAAAAAATATATAATTATATATTTTTTTAGATATTAAACATATTTTACTTAGAAATTAATATAGGTTGTCTTAATAAAATTTTGAGTAATTTTAATTTATTTAATTGTTTAAAATTGTTTAAAGTAGTATTTCACATAGATTGGTTCTGAGCAGGTTCTTTAAGGATCTGAACCTGAACTAAAAATCAGATCAAATCCAAATAGAGTCCCAAAACTGACTTGAAAAATCTAAAATACAATATATTTATTTAGCTTTAGTTCAAGTTCAACTAAAGATCTAGAACAAAATTTTTTAAAAATAATAGATCTGGATTCGAACTAGGGGTTAGTTTTGGGTTAATTCTGAGTTTTCAGCTTAGTTCTGTAGAATATTAGTTCAAAATATTCAAACTTATTATCCACAACTGTCTTATAATAATACTGTTTAATGCTAGCTGTTATTGTTGTAAAGTGGGTCAAATTTGGTATAATATAGATCAGAGATATTTATTTTCAGAGAAATATAGTATTTGTTTTTGAGTTATAAATTTTTTTACTATATATTTTATATATAAAACTAGATATTTTTAGCTATTTTATACTGTATATACAAAAAAATATTATTATTATAAATATTTTTTAGATCTTAATTTTTTAAAATTAGTTAAGTAATCATAATACAAAAATCAAATTATATAATTACAAAATCTTAAAGTATAATATATTTAAATTTGATTTAATTAAATCAAATTAAACAATAACTCTCTGCAACAATTACTTAAACCAACCGTTCTCACTCAACTCAAGTTGAAAAACTCAAAGTCTAACGTCTAAAACTATCCAAGTTTTTCCTTCCGTTGCTGTTGACGAAGCCTTTAACGTGATACATTGAGAAGTGAGCATTAGAAAAGCAGTTTGTAGCCTGGGTCAAGTTTTTCTTCTAGTAGACTCCCTTCTATGTTTAGCATCCAAGCCAGAAAGGTTATTCTGGTAGCAATTTATCAAAAGGAACTTGGATAGTAGTAGAAAGAAGAACAAGAGAAGCAGCCTGCAAAGCACTCACTACAGTTAAAAACCTCGCAACAATTACGTTTTTTCCTTTCTGCTATTTTGACATTCCCATAACCAAAATTTTGACAAAAAGTAGAGGATTTGGCTACTCCGTCAAAAGATCAGCATTGTTTACCACTTCCATATTCAGCGACTCTGTGACATGAATGTGGCTACATAAGAAATAATTTATTCCTTATTTGGGAACGTGGCCCCAGTACGTTGAGAACTCAGAAGGTTTTTAAAAACTTATACACTAATTAGATGAGATGAGACTGGGAGAACACGTGGTGTCAATATATTTGTTATACTTTGGAATAGATTATAGATTTAAAGTCAAGGCGATAAGAAAATTTGAGATATACAGTCTAATAACAAAGTTATATGTATATAATTTTTAGCCCTTAGTACAAGTTAAAGTGCATTTAGCTTAGTTTTCTTTTTATATATCAGCTGAGTTCTATGTAATTACTACGATCAAGCAGATAAGTATCCTGATTAGCAGGTACTAATTTGTTAGATAGGTTCTTTAGTTTATAATTAGTACTTTAGATTTAGATTCCTTTCATTAGTTTAGTCATTTTTTTATTTGTTTTCTTTTAAACTATTCCTCTTCTCGTAATTTTCCTTACCCTATTTGATTTTTGATTTTTCTGTTAGAGATTTTTTCTTTAGATTGGTGATATGTTATATAGAGTAGTGATTCTGACAAGGTCAGTAGGCACCTACTGCAAACTTTTGGAGTATAAATTCTCAGTAAGTTAGGAATCTCAAACAAGATAAAGAAGTATCACTTAGGCAGATCATATTTGGGTTTTCCTTGCGGAATCTATTTTAGATTCTTGTTAATAGATCAAGTAATTTTTTATTAGTACAGGCATAATGTAGTATACTAGATAGATTAACCTTTACAGGAGTATGGCTATGGTTAATTTAAATAATAAAAAAAGGATCGCTAAAACAAAAAAAACAAAAAAACAAGAAAATTAAATCAAATCAAATCAAATTAAATAATATTTAGAAATTTTTAAAATTTTTAAAATTTTATTATTTTTTTAAAATCTTCAATTTATACAAAATTTTACTAAGTAAACACAACTCTTTCTGATGATTATTTATACCAAACTTACAACTAATGAAAACAAAAACTTGTTGAAGAAAAGTAGAAGAGATATTTATACAAATAATGGTTTTTATAGAAGTCAAGGGTTTTCTTGCTTTTCTTTTCTTTCCAGACTTTTTTGTATATCCAGCAAGCAAGTTAAAAGTATTCTTGTACAAGATAACTAGCAGAAGATGGTGCTTTTATATAAAAATTTTAATAGAAGCATAGCTTCTGCTAATAAAGTAAAAGTATAGTTGGTCTAAAAAAATAGCAAATGAGTTTTCAACATACTCCCTATCAAAGTTTAAAGCTACTTGCTAACTGAAATCTTTTACAATATACCACTTTTTGCACTTCACGAAATTTTACCAAAAATAGCATACTCTCATCAAAAAATCAACAATAACGATTACTGCCAAAAAAGAAAATCATATATAGGAGTACATGTCTACTTTGGAATAAATAATGTACAATCGTGTCCTTAAATTGAAAGTACGTGAATATATTGCAGAAGTTTTACAGAACTACGCAATTTGAAGTTTCGAACTTGAACCTTTACTCAAGAACAGATAGTTTTCTGATGAAGTTTTTATATCTTAGATATAGATATAAATAACTAATATAGAGATTAATTTAGTTCATTTAGTAGTACTATATAATATTTTTAGTCCAGCACAGGCTTAATAGTGCTATCTTTGTTTTCTTTTCTTTGTTTTTGTTTTTTTTTTGACTTGTTTGGTTTATTTGTTTTAGGTGAATTGGTTTTGTTGTTGAGTATATTTCTCTTTTTTTATCCTCTTTGAAATTTGTATTTGTATTTCTTTATTGATAAAAAAAGCCAATATTGATGCTTATGGCTTGCAATCACTAATCGAGAATTGAAAAGAAAAAGTCTATAAGTAGTTTTGAACCTAAATTGAGGCCAATAACTGCTAAGGCAGACCACATTAGGCAAAAGCTTGGTGAGCTGTTGTTCGGAAGATTATATAGCTAGGAGGGAAATTCTTGTAATTTGTTAAATAGTTTTAATTATAAATAAATAGCAACAAGTAGCCAAATTATAGAAAAAAAATTTTACTAAGTTAATTAATTTACATATTAAATAAAAAATATTCTTTTAATCAAAATACTTCTAGTTAAATAGAAAAAAAAGTAATTAATTTAATAAAATTTTGTATAATAGCTATTAGGCTATACAAAGTTAAT